CCTTGCGTGCAATTTTGTCCATTAGTCCTGTCCTTGCAAACCAGGCTTTTGAGCTCTATAACCTTTACTTCTTTCTAGTTCTGTTGTTCTTTTAATCAAACTGTATGAATTCTGAGCAGCACATAGTGGAAACCTGTTAGATATGCTGTTAGCTTTTAAAATAACAGAAAAGGCTCATTTTTGATTGGGCACCCTCAAAAAGAAACAAAGTCATGGACTTTCATCTTCTGATGTGCCTGTTGAAAGTAGAATGCCCCTTTTCAGACCAAATCCAAGCCAGTAGACTTTAGAGGGTTTCTTTGGCTTTCATACCAAATAGAATACCACCAGAATACCACCCTTTTTTAAAGGACAGTCTGGTAGACATGCATGACTTGATTAAAATTAATGCTGGAAAAATTATAACCAAGAATTAAAATAGAATAAATATATTTAACATTATAGCTTTAAGCCAGATGTGTGCAGCTACGATGACATAAATAAAAAAAGAAACACTCAAATGTAGAAAACAAACTTTCTTAGGTACATCTGAAAATCCTGGTATTAATATCTCCATCTGAAGTTTTTGTAGGTTTTAATCCAGGTATGTTGTGTTCACTTGTAATAAGAAGCATTGCTTCCTGAACTTCGATGCATACCTAGCTCTGTAAGGAAAGGTTTTTGACTGTGGTCATTTGTTCTGTGTTAACATTTGCACATGGCTTCTTCCCCTGAGCCTTTTCCTCAGTCCTCCTGTCCTCAGCCCACTCCACCTCCGTGTGTCCCCCCCTGGGAAAAGCAGCGATCCAGCACAGCAAGTGCCAGTAGTGACACAGTAGCACAACTCCTTTGCTTTGTGCTTCTTTCTTTGCAAGGGAGAAAATGGGAGTCTTTCCACAAGGAGAGACTTTGTTTTCCTCTTTCTGTTGTCTGTGATCCCCACCTGTTGTATATATGGTAAAAATATCTGGGACTTATAACCCAGCAACAGTACGCAGCTAGAGTCATGTGTGACCGGGTCAAACACACACTCGCTGGAGGGTCATGGCCAGGTTACTAAGTCAAGGCTGGCAAGTCTCCACGATAATGTTTTCTTTCTCTCTCACTCTTTTTTTTTTTTTTTTTTTTTTTTCCTTCTCCCCATGTCTCTCTTCCAAGCAAGAGTTTTAAAAAACCCAAACCCTCATAACAATGCAAACTATTTAAGCATGACAAATTCAAAGAAGTTTTTTATTAAAAAAAAAAAAAATGAAGGGGGGGGGGCAAAGTCAATGATATTTTGGATTTAATTTTATAGTATAGTTTTATGTGGCACATGAAAGAGAGAAATTTGTATTGAAACAATTGAGACCCACTTTCCCAGTTCCTGGCTCTTTCCTGGAAGATGATTAAAAGCAGACTTTTTTTTCCAGACGAGACATAAAAATTAAATGATCTACAGTATATAGTTATTTTTTCAAATGTTTGGAGGCTTATAAATAACTTCTACAATCAAATGCACACATACAAGCAGCAGAGAATCTGGTTCTAATTACTTGTACTTTAGTTGAACTTTGGCGTTTCCTTTGACTTTCTGCCTAATGTATGTGAGCTGAGTGCCTTGCACTCCTGCAGTGAATTCACAAAAAGAAAAAAAAAAAAAAAGAAAGAAAAGAAAAGGCAAAAAATCCAGACTCTTGTTGGTGCCAACAAAAATGAGGGTTAACAGAATGTTTTGACCAAATGCAACACTTTGCTATTCACCCTAATTAGCTGAAATTGCTGCTTCCCACCAGGGACCCTGAGCTCAGTATTCAAAATTCCCTTGAGGCTATCCAGGAAATGCCATTTGCTTTACAACTTCTTATTCTTTTAAAACTCAACTGTCCAAAGTGTGCATTAACATGCAAGCTTAATAATCTAAGCTTCTAGGAGAACATGAAGCATTTTGCAGTGCCTGCCTGCTTCTAGTTGGTCTCAAAATAAAATACCTTCTCCATCTGTCAACACAGTTTAGCTGGCAGTAAATTAGCTCTCAGAAAGCACGCTGTGCTTTTAAAGATCTTATCTGCTACTTTATCTAACCTTTAGAAAAATTTCAGACATCTTAGGAATTGTGAAGTGACCGATTGTTTGAGAGTCCCTGTGTGTTTAAGCTGCATTCAGGTGTTGGGTGACAACACCAAGGCTCTGTTGTCTCAGGTGAGTAGGGATCTTGAAGTGTCACATCCCACAGGACAAGAAAGCAGGGCATGAAAAAAGTTGCATTTTTTTAATTCTCTTTTTTTTTCCCCCCTTAAATTCTTCCCAAAATTGTAGGACTGCTTTAAAAATGCTTCTTCTGGAAAAAGTCAACTGTCCAGCCTCCATCCTTTATTTTTTTCCTTATTGCTTGTGTACACATGCATAGAAGAAAGCAGCTTCTGCTGTCATGCATCCATTAGCTGTCAACATATTGCAAAAATAACACTTTTTACCTCCTGAGCATGAGTTGCTACAGATGCCTGCACAGGACTTCTGCACAGGCACTGCATACTTTTTCAAGTAAAGCTAAATCCAAGGAAGAGTAGTAAGTCAGAAACTGGAGTAAGAGTCAAGCATGGCTTGAACCTGGGTTCAAGCCTTCTCCAGAAAACTGCACACCTTGTCTGTGTTCAAAAGTGAATGTGCCCAAACTAGATTTTTCTATACAAAAAAGCACCAACAACCCCCTCCCCCCCCCCATTCCCAAATAAAACCCCCAAACTTACCAACCAAAATAAAACAACCTAAAAACCAAACTGCCTAGACAGTTGTTCAGCTAATGCAAGCATTATTTTTAGTAGATTAAGTCCTTTTAGTGGCACATGTGTATGGGTGTTTTTGGGACGATCTTCTGATTTCCATTGGCTCCTTCCTCATCATATACCTTTTCAAATTTTCCTGAAAAATATTCTCTAGCAGCACCTTCAACACTTCACTTGCTGACTGTGTGGTGTATTTATGAACTGAGTTGGTTGCATAATCTCTTCTGGGTATCACAATCTCCTGTTATTTCTACAGTGCTTGACAGACCTCTCTGGTGTACAATACTATTTGTAGTTGGAATGCTACTATTGGATGCTGGTACTTGTTTAGGATGAATTGATGAATAAATAGAAGTGTATCAGTATTACTCCTGAAAGGCTGCTTTCTCCAAACTGAAATCACAGAAGGATTGCAGGAGCGCAGTTGTTTTATTGAATGACACAACCTTGTTTTCCCATGGGGAGCCTAAAAGCTGCCTTTTACTGGGCTGGGAGAGTTGAATGAGCTAATACAAAACACATTGTCTGCTGGTATTGGAGTTTTAAAGCTAAAATTTTATCATTCCATAGACTCGTTGGAAGCCACCATAATTCATGTATGAGCATGAAATAAGGCAAGGAATGTTTGGGGCTTCTCAAGGGCATTTGATGAATCTAACTTTAATTTAGAAGTACTAATAGATTATTGATTCAAGCGGGGTGGCTGTGCAGAGATCAATAACAGAGCACTCTCTATCTCTCTTAAATACCAAAAATTACTGTTGGAAAAAAATGATAATTCTCACATGAGTTTTCATTAAGAAAAAGCTTCATTAAAGTTTTCTAGGTGTGGTAGGAGCATGTAGATGTTTGACAAGTTCAGTTTATTTAATACTGAAAAAGATGAGAATAGTTATGGACATTGTCTTAATGTCACAATTTATGGAGCCATGTTACTTTACTTATTTTAGTTTCCTGTTTTTTCACAGCCCCCTTATTGTTAGATGTATAAATAAATTTCAAAGGTATTTCTTTGCTTAGATCAGAGCCTTTAATACTTTACTCTGGCATTTATTTTCTTCTCAAGATGCGTCTGTCCTTGAAGTTCATACTAGCTTAACCCAAGGAAAAATGGCAGAAAGGGACCCTTCTCTCACGAGTAATCAGAGCTTGCCTCCTGTATTGTGATGTCCTCTATGAATTCAGCAACACATGGGTTGACAATGAATCATGAGCTTAGTAGAAATGTATCATCATTGTAATCTGAAAAATATCATGTACAGTAAATCTTGTCTAAGATTTTTCCATTGAGTAATATTCTTTAGAGCCTGCTGTTCATACTCTGGAGATTTAGCTCTGCTGATAGTGCCTAATATTTCTGGATAGATCTGAGTTCACAGATCCTGTCATTCCTGTATATCTGTTGAAAAGTTAGAGGGATTTATCTGAGAAGCAGCAGATGGCTAGGTGAAACATGAAAATGTATTGCACATCCACAGTAAACGTGAGGAATGATGACAGCATATCACAGAAAACCAATGCAGATGTTTTGGAAAGATGTAGTTCACATGTCTTATCTTGCATCGTAGAGCTTTCACATCCTTTCCCTGAAAGGGGCTACTGGCTTTTCAGCAGGCTCAAAACAAATGACCATCTAGAAATATTAAGGCAATAAAGGGATATGGGGGGTCATAATATATAAGTAGCTTTTTCTCAGAGAGGTTTCCTGATGTTACAGGTCCTAAGGCAGTTAAGGAAGTGTTGCTGGGTTGTACTAGTTTTGCAGATTAAAAAAAAAAGGACAACTTGTTTAGGTAATTTTCACTTCAGGTCTCACACTCTTTACATATATCCTGATATGTGCTGCTATCCTGCTAGGTCAGAATTGCATATTGGAGGATAAAACACTCTCCCAAGATTAGGTACCCATCACAGTTTCCCTTTAAAGGCTGATATCCAACCTGCACATGTGGTTGCTATACAATTCAATAGGCTAAAACCGGAACATGAGCCAAAAGTTGTCCTTTTTGGGAGCCTGGTAAGATTCATGCCCTACATCTAAATTATTGGATACTTTAAAATATAGTTTTAAGGCTGTAGGATGTAATCTTGCCATTATTTGCCTTGCTTAGCTCCCTTTAAATTTTACTAGGAAAGACAAATTAATGTTTATTATGGAAAGAAGGGTATGGGCCAGTTTGATACTTACAATATGGTTATATATAGTAATTTATTCAAAATAATTATGAATCATTCAATTTTTTTTTTCTTTTGTAGCAGTTGAAACTCAGAGCACCAGTTCTGAGGAACTTGTTCCGAGCCCTCCTTCACCACTTCCACCCCCTCGTGTTTACAAGCCCTGTTTTGTTTGTCAAGACAAGTCATCTGGATATCACTATGGTGTCAGTGCTTGTGAGGGATGTAAGGTGAGTGCCATCATCTCCCTTTCCTTTTATAGGGGTGCATTTCATCTTAGGAGAGGGATAAAACAATGCAGTTTGGTGTGACTTGATTGTCTTCAAAGACGGCTGTAACTTTCTTGTGTGATTTAATTCTGATTCATGACTAAAGACAAGTAAATTACCATCATTCTTGGAATTAATTCCCATTGTAATTTCTGCCAAATATGTCTTTCAGGGACCTCCTGAAGTACTGACTCGCATGAAAATGGGGTCATAGATGTAGACATAATCAAAGAATAAACAGAAAACTTTTGAGACTCTTCATTGTACATCTGTAGGTCAGATATTCCCTGAGATCTCACGTAGCCCTTGGCTGCTCTTGGCCTTTTTCTGTGTACTTGTACCTCTCTGTACCCACGGGGTAGAGTTTGAGAACAGGATCTGATCATCTGGAAATTTTTGGTGCTGTCTCTAGCTATGTAACTAATCTCAAATCGATTTGGGAATTTGAGGATTAGCAGGTTTGTATTTGCAAGATTTAATCTGTCAGACTTCATTGCTGGCACATCTGCCGGCTGCCTTCCAGTGCTGTGATTGTCAGAGCATGAATTGATGACTGTCCATAGGATGCAGCGTTGAAACACACCACTCAAAAGTAGAGAAAATCTGAAGACACCTGGCAGAGAAGCAATGTCATTTACACCATGTTTGTGTGGCAATAATTGGAGGTGTGCACACAGTGTGCACTTCCATCCATGCAAAGAAGGTAGAGTGAAAAATGGTAAAGAATGATATCATAGGGCAGATGCTCTCATAGATAAATTTGTTAGCATACCCTAGTGCAATGATCTTTCTTAACAGTTAAAAACCTATGATTTTCATCCTTTAGCTTAAAATAGATGTGTAGTGTTTAGTACAGTACTAATGCATGCTGAAAATGTGACAGGTGCTATAGCCATATAAATAAAGTTCTTAGAATAAATTAACAAAAGACATTTTGCTGGTTTATTTTTGTGATTTAGTTAGCCATTTTTACTTTATCCTTTGAAAATTCAACTTCTTCCATGCTAGTGGCATTTTGTACTTATATAAAATATCATAGTCCTGGGTTTGTGTCATTAGACAAAAAACTAAAGGACTGAAATCTGGTTTCCCCCCTTTTTTATAGCTGTAGTGACTGAATTAGTGGAAGTAACTTCTTAATCTCACCTCAGTTTTAGAACCTCTTTCTGGTATTATTGAGGTTTTTCTTAGATGTCCTGTCTGTATTTTTTTCTTTTAGATACCACAACACTATCACAACTTTTTTTTAAGAAGAACTTAGCTGATTTCTTAATCTCATCATACTCAGATGCGAACATGCAAATGCTGGCAGTGTAACTTGCTCACCCACGTTACCTCTAATCACAGACATAATTGCAGACCGTGGCAGGAAGGTCACATGTCCCTAAGAGTTAATTCTTTCTGAAAAATATGCAAAAATACACTGTAGGACTTTCACTGGCCTACTGCAAAGCATTTTCATAAATAATTAAAGCATGATCTCACTTGTCAGAATACATGAGGAAATCCATCTTGTAATGTGTTAGCCATTACTCAACAAGAACAAAAATACTGTCTTCACTTACTTGCTAATTTGCAAGAAGGGGTAATTCAGCACTTAACGATAGCTGATGTTAAAAGAAGAGAAAAAAAAAGATTAGTTACACTCAAAGCCTGTCAGTCTATGAGAAATAACAAGATTCCAAAGTAGTAACTTGGCTGCTTGAGACTGGTAATATTTGGGTTTGTTGATGCTAGCTCTGCAACAGGTTGGACTAAGGTTTTATGGAATCTCTTCCATGGATTGAACCAATATCCTTAGCGAATGTTAGAAAACAGCAAGAACATGGTGTGGCTGCTGAATCAACCACCGGTCCCTTTGGTGGACAGTCAGGTGCTACATTTGCTGTTGAAAGTTATCTGAGCTTTCAGGTCAACAGAAGTGATGAGCTGGATGTCAGCAGAGAGCAGATGGCAGACTGCAGCAGCAGAGGACACCTCAGAAACCTGTGTTGCCAGTTTCCACTCTTTTTCTGAAGAATGTTACCCTTTCCTTGTCACTCTATTTGGAATGGCGAGAAGAACGACACAGACTCTCTTGTGTGTTGAACAGGAGAGCAAAGCTTATTATTCTCGATCTTCTTTTATAGACGTGTTTGAGAAAGTCCAAGAGGTAAAACTCTCATTGGTCATTAAAGCAACACATCGACCATCATTGGTTAAGTGTAACATCACTTCTTGACTGTTTTCCTAAACACCACCTGCAAAGATTGTTGTTCTTTACCAAGGACTGTTGGATTCTTTCTCATGCTTTCTCAAGCCAGAATGAGAAGCCTGTGACTTAGTTTCACACAGGCTCTGTTCCCTTCTTTTTGCATTTAGCATCCACATTTCCTCTTGTGTTCTTTTTGACTGTTTGGTTTATTTTTCTTTTCCTTCATCTTTACACTTGCTTTCATACTGTCATCAGCTGTTGGTCCTGTACCTCAAGAAAACTACCACCTTGAACTTCTGATTTGTATACTTACAGGCTTCTTCCTGTTCTCAAGTCCACTTTCATCCTCTGTTCTCAATATCAGTTCTTCATGTACCTCTTTTCTTTCCAGCCTTTTTCATACAAAAATTAGCCCGTTTCTTTGCAAGTTCAGTAAGCACTGAGAACTGAGCACTGCTGCTTGAGGAAGCCTTCTCTCTCATGGATCTTTGCCTTTCTGTTGATTAACCAAAGTTTATTAGAGAGCCTGTGTTTCACTGAAGGCTTCTGCTTGGTATGAAGCTGCAGTTGCATGCTGATTCTTTGGTAAATCAAGGGAGTATTATTTTTTATTATTATTATTATTATTATTATTATTATTATTATTATTATTATTATTATTATTAATTAGGAAGTATTTGTGTTACAGCCTTTTGTGTAGTTAGGAAACTCAAATTCATTACCCCTTTACCTTGAAGACACATTTTCATACAATTTCAAAGAGCTCTGTTTTCTTCACGATTTGTCACTGAAGCTGACAAGCATATTCAGAAGCTGTTGGGATGGGGAGAGGCAATCTCATTCCATAAGTAACTAGACTAAAATATCAGCCAATCCCTTTCTTTCTCTTTTCATCTGACTGTTGCAATTTACTCCTTTTTCACTTCTATTTTCCCTTCTTCTTTCTTCATCAAATTTGCAGTCTCCATTCTGTGATGTTAAATCCTAAATTCACTAATTTTTTCTCCTGCATTTGCACCTTCCTATGTTCTGAAGTCCTTTTCTCAAGTCTTTTCTTTTTTTCCCTTCTGTCTCATTTACCTTTCACTTTGAACTCCTGGCGGTCTTGTTTCCCAAGGGAAAAACAAATGGAAAACTCTGCTCACATCATATTTACCTAATTAGAACCGTGATCTTTCGTTTCTCTGTCCTGGCTTTCCATTTGTTTTCCTCTAGTTTTCTCTCTGTTTCCTTCTCTTTTGCCTTTCTCTTTTGAGCTCCAGTGAAGCTGCTGCCACAGTGATCATTGTTAGTCATCATCTAATGCAAGGGACAATTTTCTGTCCTACAGGTTTTGGGTTGATGGCTGCCTTTGATTCATCAGGCTTTCTTTTTCCTGGCTTTCAGGACTCTTTCCTTGCTAATTTTTCAATATCTCCTTAAATGGCTCTTTATCCAGTTCCTAGTGCCATTCCCCAAGGTTCAGTTCTTTGGTTTTCTATTTTAAAAAGCATTGTTTACTGACCTCTTTTTATGGTAGACCAATGGGGGATGTCATGGCAATATTCTGCTTATAACAGGTGTATTTTTAAATGAGACCCTTCCAGCCAGGAGCCCTTGGAAAGCTGTGGATGGTGGCTGTAACCTTGTGATGTTCAATTTGGGAAACACTGAGCTGTAAATTTTATCTTCCCTCAGCTGCCACCAACCCATGGATGATTTCCAAAGTACCCCTATTTCTGACTTCTCCCCTCCCGTCTTTCCCTGGCGTGTCATCTTGCTCACCTCACTGCTACCTTGGACACAGAGTTCATGAAGACAGAGCTTTCCATCCTCTCTTTGTGTCATCACCAACAATAATGTCAGTTCTTTCAGACATCTTGTCATGATGACATAATTTCTGGTCTGCAGAAATCTGAATCTGGTCTGCTTCTGATTCTATTTTACCCTACAGATTTTTATTTTTTTTTACAGATTTTACCCTGTCGTCATTTCTCCTCCAGAATCTGAGAATCTGGCTTCAGCTGTCTTCACTGTCAAACCATTGCTGTGGTCTTCTCACATAGGATTGGTGCCTTCTCCTGTTTTTGCTTCCTCTTTTCCCACTCACTGTCATCCTTGGTTCTTACTTTTTCAGGTACCTGGGAACAACCTCCTAATCTCCTTTGCCAAATACTTTAGTGACCTTGCTGTCTTATTCATTACTGGAGTCTTCAGTACTGTGCCGTAGTAGGAAGACTGTTCTGTGGCTTGTGTTGATATGTTAGTAATTTAAGGTTTTCAGAGGATGAGGTGTTTCATAATAGGCACTTGTGAACCACACTGAGAATTTCAAACTGGTTAAAAGAAAAAAAAAACCCAAATGAGCTTCTATGTTTATTTCTGGGTGTTACACAAAACACAAAAGTGTGTGTGCCTCATAGCTGGTCATTTGCTTTCTGTATGTGTTAGAGTTTCAAAATCAAACTGATCTTCATGATGTATTTTGTAAGAAAAATTCCACAGACAGTCCATCTTTTTATGTGTAAAACAGTACCTTGACAATATTCAGCTTATTTACAACTTTCCCATTTTGTAAACTGCATGGCATTTCAGAGGTGGGTTTTGGAACCTACTTGTGTTGTTTCATGACCTCAGAGATTTCGGAGATCTTTTTCTTCTTCCCCCCCAGTCTCTGGGTGTTGCTAGATAGCACGCAAACAAATTCCATGGAAAATGAGCAATCTGGATTTATCCAGCTGGTGCAAGTGGTTATAGGGCTGACTGTCACCAAACGCTCAGCTCTTTG